TGACTGTGTACCGGGGGCTTGTCCTTTGGAGACACTGATGACTGTGTACCGGGGGCTTGTCCTTTGGAGGCACTGACGGGCAGCTCTGAGACGGAGGTTGTGTTCCGGAAGAAGAATAATCACGTGAATGCTAAGAGTGTTTCTACTCCATTGGGCCCTTGAGCAAGGCCATTAACCTGGGTATAACGTTAACTTTCATTCAGCTCTCCAAGCAGGTCTTCCAACTTCCAGGGAAAATTTGGGGGTTGGTTGCAGGATTGGCACTCCAATCACCGGAAGAACTTCACACTGTTTGGCAGTGTCAAGGAAAAACTCCCTAGAAGGAAGAAACCTTGGGAGGGACCAGACTCAAAGGGGGGAGTCCATCGTCCAGGGGCCAGCAGGGAGAGTCAAATACAGTAAAATTTGAGACACAAACGGGGAGCAGGGGGGAGATGACAAGCCGGTGCCACCACTCCCTCCAATCGCCAGGCAACCAAAAGGCAGGCAGCGGGTCCTCTGTATTTAGTCCGTATTTCAGTTTGTTTCCCCAGTCCGGTTATTGTATTGTCCGTCTGCGTTCTGCCTGGTCGGCACGAAAATATCATTATAATTAAATGGTCTTTTATTCAAATTAAAGAAATCTTTATTTTTAAATGTATTGTATCGTATAATAATTTCCGTTACTGTCTAAATGTATTTTTACTGTCTAAATATATGTATTCAGCTAGTGTAAACATGCATGATGCTATCACAGCGAATGCGAGGCTGAGACTGAAGCGTTACCTTTTGCTTCCGCTGAGAGACGTGCCGCATGACTCATCTCCCCGCGCATACAAGTTATCTTAGGTCGGCATTCACGGTTTGACTTCTGAGATTCAGATCGAGTCCTAGGTAAAAAAATTTTGGAACTGGTTGGTTCGACTTTTAAGAAATTCGAGTTCTATTGAGTTTGAGAACTGAGGTACTACTGTATTTATCGTATTTCTGATGCTTTCGGAAGGAATATTTATACTTCTCGTTTAGATGTGGTTTTCATTTCATTTTCATGTCTTTTTATTTTAGTTTATGCAAATGTTTTCATTAATAGCAAAATGTACTGCCTTATGTACTTTAAGTACATAGGGCATGGTTAGTTTTAGTAAAGTTCTTATAACATCCATACTACACTTAGCACCACGCCAGGCCAGGTGTCAAAGTACACAGTTGCCTGCCATGTCAGCACTAGAAGTATGAACAGGGACTTGGATGGTCTGGTGTTGTGTATTGAGGAACCCAGGCATTGGAGGCACTGATGATTGACTGAGTGCTTGGGGGGGCAATCTGTACTGGTGGCAAAGGTGGTTATGTACTGAAACTGTATTGAAAAAGAATATGGTCACTTAAGATTTGCCATAAGTTGGTAGCCGTTCAATAGTGAAGCCGGTTGCATTCTGGGAGATAAGCTGTACCCCCTCCTCCCCAGCAGAAAGTCCCAACTTCTCAGCCCAAAGGCATCGCCACGAATGACAACGATGCCAGCAAAGGCAACCTGGGTTTCATCCACGGCTTCGCAGCCTCCTTCTCCGTCATCATCGTGTCTGAGCTGGGCGACAAGACCTTCTTCATCGCGGCAATCATGGCCATGCGGTACAACCGTCTGACCGTGCTGGCAGGAGCCATTCTGGCCCTCAGCCTCATGACCTGCCTCTCGGGTGAGTAATACCGGGGGGGGGGTCACTATCATTAATGAAAATTTATATAACGATAATATATTAGCACAATGATATAAGTACACCCTTTTCATGAGTAATGAACTTTTAATTCTTATGAATATTCAAACACTGGAATTGCAATGTCAAAAAAATCCTTGATCATTCATGGGCCAGTGGAAAATTTAAGTAGCTTGTTTCACTCCTTTGTAGGCTGGTTATTTGGTAATAAACTGTGAAAATGTTTTCACCTTCAAATCAAATCACTTGATTTGTGACATCTCTTGATACTCCGTAAGCACAAGTGAGTGAAAAGCATGTGTGCAAAGTCCCACAGCAGTAAGGAACCAGTTAGATGACCATCATATAAGATTTAGCTGTTATTCTTGAGGCGTGAGTGTCCTTGTGCCTGTGGCAGTTCCTTCTTATGTGTAATTAATAATAATAATAATAATAATGTTTTTTATTTGAGTAATTCTGAGGACGTCCAAAAATCCTTAATAGAACAGGGTGGTCGATCGAAAGCTATGCCGTTCAGGGTAACCTGTCTCGTGTGTGTATGCAAGCGTGCGTGTGTGTGTGTGTGTGTGCGTGTATCACCCTGCAATAAATGGCTGTCTGCGCAGACGGGTTTGAATGATGGAAGTGATATTAATGGTGTCCATCACTTCTCCACAGTCCTCTTTGGCTATGCCACCACAGTCATCCCCCGCATCTACACCTACTACGTCTCCACGGCGCTCTTCGCCATCTTCGGTGTGCGCATGTTGCGTGAGGGGCTCAAGATGAGCCCCGACGAGGGCCAGGAGGAGCTGGAGGAGGTGCAGGCTGAGATCAAGAAGAAGGACGAGGAGGTGCGCGGACCCCTGAATGCTCCACACATCCGTTCACCGCGTCACATGTGCCTCGCGGTCACCTGACTTCTCTGATTTCGGTCGGCCCCCGGCAGCTCCAGCGATCGAAACTGATGAATGGCACGTCGGACGTGGAAGCAGGATCCAGTGTGGTCTTACCCCAGCGGAAGTGGCACAGCTTCATTTCCCCCATCTTCATCCAGGCTTTCACCCTCACCTTCCTCGCAGAGTGGGGTGACCGCTCCCAGCTGACCACCATTGTCTTGGCAGCCCGAGAGGTCTGTCTGTCTGTCTGTCTGTCTGTCAGGCACGTCACATGATACCAGCGTGGAAGGTTTTTAACCAACTTTCCCCCCCTTTCAGGACCCCTTCGGCGTTGCAGTGGGCGGGACGTTGGGACACTGGCTGTGCACAGGACTGGCGGTGATTGGTGGAAGGATGATCGCCCAGAAAATCTCTGTCCGAACTGGTAAATATGACTGCTGTCTCTGGGAGCTTTATAGCATAGGGGTCCAGCTTTTTACTGCCAGGCAGAGTTGTACTTGGGATTTGGGGTTAAGCTCCTCCCACACTTGGCAGGTTAACATATGAAACATCTTGTTGTTGAGGTGAAATCAATTTACTTTATATTAAGGGAGTAAACCATACCAGTAAATGGATGGACATTAGGCCAATTAAGCTCAAGGAAAGGAATGGAAAACCAGCTTATCTGCCCTCTATGTACCATTATGGGGTACTGCACTATCCTTAACATTCTTGCTATGAAAACTCACCTAAGACCCAGTAACAACATTTTATTTATATTAAATAATTGTTTCATTCTCAATGGGGGGGCCAGCCATTTCACAAGAAGGCATGATTTTAAAATACATCATCTGACCTATTTTTGCAAAGTTGAAATATCATTGCAGTGAAATTGGCCAATTAGTATGTAACCAGATTGTCTGGGAGAGAGAACACAGGCCTGCAGGAGTGACATTCGAGCAGCACTTCCCCAGGACTGTAATTGAAGATGGGGGGTGGGGCTGTGTAATTATGCTGCTGGTGCTGATCATTTTCTCGCCCTAGTCACCATCGTCGGAGGCATCGTGTTCCTGGCCTTTGCTTTCTCTGCGCTCTTCATCAAGCCCGATGCTGGATTCTGATACCAGGCAGCACTAACTGTAAATACACCCAAAGCTCTGTGTTAGTGCTGGGTGAGTGATGTACCGTATGTGTGTATACATACCTTCTCTCCATATAGAGTCACTCTGCCAGAGTGTGTCTGTGTGTAGGGGGGTAGTATGTTCACTCTGTGTGAGCACGCATGCGTGTGTGATTGAATGTTCTGATGAGTGTGACTCAAGTGTCTTACTGTAATGAATCATCTTGGTGTTTGTGTTGGGGGAGAGGGTGTCCAAACACACGACCACATGCCCCCTTTGTCCAGGTTCTGCATCCACTGTTAGGAGGGGGTAATGGTCAGACTAACGCTGAGCCGGTATTGTTGTCCTGTATCATGTGATGGGAGCGTGTTGAGGGGGGTGTGGTAGATATCACACTAACCGCAAAGGCTGAGGCCCTGATTGGGCACATTTGCTGGACCTGAAGGACTTGTATCAAGAAAAGGGTTGAATCAGTTTCAATTTACAAAACTTGGCATTTGAGTGTCCCACATGGGACACACATCTTTTCAGTGTTTTGCACCCTAATATCAGAATTTAGGGAAGGAGGGTTGGTACTGCAAAAGCAGATTGTATTTAACATCAGCACAAACTATGCTTTTTTATTAGAATTAAGGTTTTCTAGAGCCAGTAATTTATCTTGTCATTATGAAATAGCTATTTCACCAAAAGCAGGTGTCTAAGGTTTATATGGCAGAGGGTACAAATGTCTCAGTGGGCGATCGTCCATGTTTTTGTAACTTTAGTTTTAATGAAACGATCAGTTGTAAACTCTGATGTGTAAATATTCAATAAATCTACTTCCGTCTCTTCCTTGTCTTTCGTGGAAATGGGCTGGACAATCCTTCCACCTCAGCTCTCCACCATTGTTTCAGTTTAGTAAAAGGTTAAAATTATCCAAATCTCCTTATTCAGCCATGTGAGCTCTGAAAGTAAATGGTTGTTTTAATTTGCATCTTAGAGATTGTCATCCTGTCTCTGAAAGCCACTTATCAAATTTAGATAAAAACAAATAAGCATACCTTTTATCTTCTACAGATCTAATATCACCAAGTTTCTTCATAATCTTATCAGGGTGAGCTGCTCAAATGTGAATGTGGAATTTACTCCTATTGGATTGTTGTGGTGCTGCGTGTGCTACTATATTCATGATGTTTTATGGGATGAGGATGTAGGATAAACTCATGGGCCATTAGCTGTGGAGTCTATCCTTCCTAATCATCCAAAGTTCTCTTGGAAGGAATATCAGTAACTCCGGAACCCTGATTCGTCTTGGTGATATCACTAGTATCTGTGTCAGGTCATTGTATGGTAACCTAAACCTGGAAGAGCTGCCCTGTTTCTGGTCCAAAGCCCAAATGGAAAAAATGGTTTTATATGAGCTACTATTCCACCAAACACCAAGAAGAGTTCTGGACCTATGCCCTGGGAAGAAATGCGTCGTCTTTCATGAAGAGTTAAGACGCTGGAGATAGGTTGGACAAGAGAGCTTGTTTTGTGGTGTCAGCAGACAGGCGCTAAACTGGAATGCCCAAGGCAAAAGGAAGATGGGGTGGCCAGGAAACACCAGAGACCTTCAGTATGGGATGGTGCCAGCTGGAGAGGAATGATCAGGAACCAGAAACATCAACCATGAAGACATCTGAGGACGTTCTAAAGCAGGGTCCGTGTGGCTCAGTGGTTTTTGACCGCGTGCCTGTGATCATAAAGTTGTCCGCTCAAATCCCAGTGGCGACAGCAGGAATATACCGTTGGGTCCTTGAGGAATACTCTGTCATAATTTTCCAGGGATTGGCTGACCATGTTTTCTCAGTGTTACGTTGAATAAAAGCATCTGATAACGTGTTAGGGCACCCATCTAATAGGGATAATGAGACACGTCAGTCCCTTAACAGAACATTTAAAGCAGAAAAAAGGAGAGAATATTTCCTTTGCCTGGTGTATACTAAACCTGTCCCCCCCCAGGCTCATTTAGTATACTCAAAATTTACCAGCAACACAAGCACTTCAACTTTGCAAAACAAAATCAATAAAACTGCCAGACAGCCTTTAACACAAGTTTATTTTCAAAATGGATTCGGGGAGCAAACAGCAGTCTGCTTAGAATGAGCGTTTGTGGGAAAATAACAGCAGCTTCGCTAACCATCGGTTACACTCAGTGATATTACAGCACCATTGGACGCTTTCATCTGTGAGTGATTAGGTTTTTTCTCCTCTACAAACCAAAAGTGCCATTGTCTGGATCAAGCCTTTCCATTCTCTAGATTCCTGGGAGATGCACTGATATTTCTCCAGGTTTCGTATGGGGTTTCTTTTGTGTACAAAAACATCTGGTAAGCCAAGCACAAGTGTTCTGTAAAGAACATTACACATTGATTAAATGACACACAAAACACTGATAGACATTCAGGACTTCTAGTGCTTACAACAGAACTACAGAACATAGTACATGACTGAAACAATTCCTTTACTTCTGGTGGGCCCTTCAGCTATTAAATAAAATAATAAATCTGTTTCCCCATCTTTCACTACAACTCTTTGGATTAAAAATGGTTTTGCATCAGTGGCCTGGAAACTGGATGTGTCTGTGTGGTTAAACACTGTCAAACTCGGTCTCAAACTCCTGCATGTGTTACCTAAATATTTCCTGCTGATACCTTAGACATTTACACTTTTACTGCTAAATTAAGTACCCATACAGATTGTGTATTCAAAAAGGCAAATTTGTTTTCCCTGTTTTTCTTAGGAACGAATCATTACAAACTAAGTTTATGACTAGTGATTGCACCGGGTCAGAGTGAAAGGTACAAAGTAACATTTGCGGGACTGAGTTTGACATCTTGCTGTGAAGTACAGACCAACAAGGAGCACCTGCTGGTGTCACTTCTACAACTGGGCGGTTCAGACAGTGACTGGATCACAGAAGCAAGGCTGGCCCTGACCCCAGAGAAACCCTGACCCCCCCAGTCCCCAATCCACCCATGACCAGGCTCAGGGATGGCCTGCGATTCTGGGAAACCCTGCTGGGCTGTGTCACAGTTTGTTTAAACCCCTCAAAGAGATTCCCTCTGTGGACGTCCCTTCAGAGCCTACAGCAAGCTTAACATCTGTACTCTATCCATATAAATTTTAATTTTTAAAATGCTGGCTTAGCCATTTAAAAAAATATTTCAAAAAAATACTTGTACCTTTGTGTGTTTGTATTTTGATGTTTAGTTATGTCAGACATACATATATATAAACATCTTAAAATAAACCTCAGTGCAATTCCATTCATCCAAGGATCCATACTGTACATTCAGTATAAATCAAACCATCATTATTTAAGCTCTCATTTATATTAAATATTTTACTATACAGTTAAAAGGCAATGCATTAAAATCTAATTGTATTTAGCTTGCATTTGAAATATAATTGGATCAAACATGGACAATTACACACACAAAAAATGACTTCTGCTGAAGTACTGGAAGTTCCAACCTTCGGACTTATAACAGTTTATTGAGACTCGCTCTGTCTCCCCTAAGCAACCTGTCCCTGAGCCTAACCTAACTATCAAAACACAATTGGTCACAAATGCCACCATAACCCTATATATAACTAGTCACTGAGTCCTAAGTCCCGGCCGCAACATCACAGTGCCAGCTGCAGGGGGCAGCATTGACAATAGCAAAACCATAAGGGGAGACCAATACATTGTTCCCCCCTTCCAGACATGACCAAGCAGCTCCTTATTATTAGTGAATTCTCACACAGCTTTTCACAGCCACCAGTTTAATAATGAGAGGTACTTCCATAAAATCAGTCCTGAGCCTGCAGTACACTCCAGAAGGCTTCCTCCCAGATCTCTCTTGGTTTGATATGAACTGCAATAACCTGAATTCAACACAAGGTTGTGCGGAAAGGCATGCGATGCCTGCCTAACATTTGAGGGGTTTCACTGGTCTAATTGCTTAAAAAAATAAATGCATTTCTGCATCCATTCTCTGGTTGTGGGACCAACAGACATTTCATCCAAAAGACTTCAAAGTAACAAAAAAAAAAAAAAAGATTGTCAGTCACTGCAATTACCAAATCAACTGTAACAAAACTTCTAAAATCTGTGTTAAAAGTACAATTGAAAAATATGGCCAACAACCCATGATCATTCACAGGAAAGAGACACTCAGTGGGTTTATATTCATACATGACCAAGCTTGTCTAACACAATCCACTCCCTGAGACACAGAGAAGCTATCACTCCCTGTTCAGCTCTCACACACAGCATTTCACTCCCATTCACACGCACACACAACCCAAAGCACTATCCCAGGCTAACCTTCACAGACTGATTGATAGGTCTTATATTCCTCGAACCGAAATATCCACACCCACAAACCCAGCACCATCTATTTGATTATTGTGCTTTCATTCATTCATTCATTCGTTCGTTCATTCATTCATTCATAAAAAGTACAGAACACTACCATTTAAGGAGGGAATCTTGACTCTGCTCCTTGCCATTCCCATGGGAACCACATCACCTGGCTGCGGTGTGTGACCTAAAGTCAAGCGGTTCTGTTAACAATCTGCACCATCAATGCTGAGGTCTCTCCACCACCCTAACTGCTGCTGTTTATATGGACACTGTTGCCCCATAAAGTTCATTATGGACCCAAGTGATTCACTTCCTTAGACAAAGTGTAGGGAACTCTAACATTCCAGGTGGGCTGACGTAGCACACCAGCTAACATACATTTTTGACCAGATGTGGTGGAGTTGACTTAACATCTATTCGGCCTGCAAACCTGAAGGATTCAGATTTGGGTCTTTTGAGGGAGTTAATTCACGCTGACGGTTTACAGGACACATCAGGACATTGTAAACCACTGAAGGTATACAAATCATTGTATTATATATGTTAGTGTAACTCCAACTGCAGATGGGGATCCTCTATGTTGGCCGAGATACTGCATTCCACATGAACCAAAATTTGGAGCTGTATTTAACGTGTCCATTTTCAAAAAACAGATCAGAAAACCGTCCAGGAAACCATCTGAAATTACATTCAAAATAGGAAGACAAACCACACGACTCACTCAGACCGTATGTAGTGTGAACTACAAGCCATATACAATCACAGCAGCTCACGTTTAGCTAAGACTTACGTTAATGTGCATGAATTAACTGCAACACCACTGGCGGTGGGCAGTCACAGATTAGCAAGAAAACATTTCCTGGACCAACAAACTGATCTCACATGGTGTAGAGCAGGACTATTCAATTTAGGCCCTCGATTCCAAATCCAGGCCTTGTTTTCAGTTCTCCCAGGTAGTTAGTTTAATAATTACTGATTCTGTTTGGTCAGAGGCTTCACACCTGGCTCATAGGTGAAGGAAGGCTGGAAAATCAGCAGGGCCTGGCCCCTGAGGACCGTGAGTTGAATAGCCTTGGTGTAGAGTGATGAGAAACGATTCGTACTTAGCTTTTAAAAAAAAAAAAAAAAAAAAAACACAAATCTGTGAAGCAAAGTTTAGTGTTTTGAGAAATCAGCATGCAATCCGGGAAACACGGACAATGTCGAGTAAATGTGCAAACCAACATGCTGTTTGTGCGAAAAATGGTTGTCCTGACAACTCACGCCCTAACAGAAGCCACACCCATCAAGCCATCACCTCATGAGAACCACTTAGGGGAAAAATAAAAACAGAAAGTTGAATTTCAGCACAGCCAACCTTGATTGTCACTCAGTATAAAGTATGTCACTTGCTTTCAGTTTCAGAAAAATGTCACACTCCTCCCCGAGAGTCCAGACAGCTGTGAGGTCCTTAGGATAGCCCCCGAGGACCAAGAGTATTAGCCCCCGAGGACCAAGAGTATCAGCTCAGTCTGACACTGTGTAGGAAATAACAGAGAACAGCAGCAGAAAAAGGGAGAAAGTGACAAAATGTAAGAACAGACCCAAAAATCGACTGCGACTCGTGTTAAGTACTATAGATCGGAAAGCTAACGTCATCCGTGTCCTTATTCGATGCTACCATTTCGACAAATATAAAACAACCGATTTTACTTTCATTTCTTGCTAAAAATGAAGCACAATTCCTTGGCACTCTAAGGAGGATACAAGAAAAACAGTCGTATCGGCTAGGGAGGAACTCATAATGCTTTGGTAGACCTCATGATACATGGAAATGACATTCATTAAACGTTCGAAAAAGGTTTGTACAACATTTTGGAGTAAACACCACCCTCTGTGGTTAACGTGAGAAGCTGGTCATCATGGGGGGGGGAATTAACAAAAGCATGTGGTTCCCCCCCTGTGGCTGTGCAATATCACTCACTCTGTCACACACACATATCTTCCTGTTCGGCTATTTTAATATATATATTTTTTAGAGAGAGCATCGCTCTCTTTGGAACAAACTTTTTAAAATTCTGAGTAAAAGACTCTTGAAAATTGGCTTGTAGAATTGAGGTTAAACCCATTAAACAAACTGTGACACACCAGCTCGGACCAATAGCGAAGGGAAGCTGTGAAAATATTAACTTTAGCGTTTAGTTCTCGGTTTCTCTGAGAGTACTTTTTTTTAAAAAAAAAGTATATTCAAAGCTACAAATAACAGATTATATTTTTCATGCATCATATAAAATATTAGTTCTTTCCTTTAGTCTGGGTATTTACATATTATGTTACACACGTCTGTACAATAAAGTAGAATCCATATGACATTCTTAAAAATATTTTCTGACCCATAATTATTTCACATGAACACAAAAAAGAAAGGGTGCAGGGAGGCCTCAAACTGACAGCTTAGAGAGACCTGCATAAATTAAATCTGCCTGACGACAGCAGAGGTGAGAGAGAGAAGGGAGAGAGAGAGAGAGGGAAAGGGTGAGCAGGTCAGGTCAGCGAAGGACGGGAAGAGGCCCCATGATGCTTCTCTGCTTTCCGTGGTGCAGGCTCCAGGGCGGCTACCATGGAGAAGAGCTCTGGGAGATGAACAGGGCAGATTGCTAGCGAGTCCGCTTCCCGCGACTGCCAGTGCCTTCTTCCCAGAGTTCAGTGCAAACAGCCAGCTGTTCCCGGCAGCGAGGACGAGCCTGCGCCCCACCGTCCCACAGGCCAGGGGGCAGGGGAGGTGAATGGGGGCGGAGCTCAATAGGTACACTTTAAATACTGCATCTTAAAAGCACCTACCCCCCATACAGCTGGATTTGTGGTTCAGTCCATGCACTCGTGTGGCTGTCGCCCCGGTTACTGGGGCTGTGTCCCGGAGCGATCGGACATACTATCAGTCCTGTGGGTGGGGATCTGCTGTTGCTGTGGCTGCTGCTGCTGAGCTTGCGTGAAGGCGCCGGGCTGCTGAAGCGGGAAGGCCGCTTGCAGGATCAGCTGCGCAGACTGGTTGCCGTGGAGCAGACGCGGAGCCTGGGGCGACATGGCCAGAGAGATTATGTGAAGTTACCTGCTATGCAACTTAAAAGCTAATGCGTAACATCTCATGAAGGACTGCTGTTGGACCCTAAGTTCACCCCAGAAGAATAGCTAAAAGGAAAGAAAAAAATAATAAAAAAAAGAAAAAAATCTGCTGCCCACCTGCAGGAACTGCGTAGCCTGTTGTGTAGTCAGCTGCGCAGACGCCTGTCCACCCTGCGCAGGCGCAGCCTGGCCTTGGCCCTGCTGCTCTGGCGCCGGCTGCGTCGGCTGTGCCAGGCTTATGGTCTGCGGCTGGCCAGGCTGCGGGGCGAAGGCGTTGTAGGCGGTCACCACCTGGCCCATGAACATGGTGGTGGGGACCATGACCGCGCTACACATGGGGGCCGTCACCAGCTTAGTCAGCAGCTGCTGTCCTGCGGGGAACCTGGAGGGGGATGACACGTCAAGCGCGTAAGCGTTAGCAAAAACGGCGTGTGAATCTCACGGTTTTTGTGGGGAACAACAGCCCGCCAAACCCACCCTCGCTAGAGACAGAAAGACCCTGACTGGGAAGCGGGGGACGAGCTCCGGTCTGGAAGGGGGGGGGGGGGGGGGAATATAGGCCCCCGGATTCCTGATTAAGCCTGAGCTGGGCCACAGCCAGGCCACCGGGGTTCAAGGAAGTGTGACGTCAACAGTACATGTGCCGCAGTCACACGCTGTACTGGGCACCGAGAAACATTATCCACAGTCCTGTAGTAACAATACAGAGTTTGCATGTTTTCCCTCATGTTTAATGTAAGGAATATATACTATTTTCCTTAAAACTTTCACTACTGATTGCAAACCTGAGCAAAAATAATATTGCCTCCCATTTTATTTATTTAGCAGACACTTTAATCCAAAGCGACACCCGATTGACAAAGCAGGATCAGATAGAGGCTTAAAGGGCCCAATGGTGACATCACTGCTGACCAAAGGATTTCAACTGGTGACCTTCCAATTACAGGCACGGCACCCTAACTTGCTGAGCCACGCGCAGACTCCCCCCACTCAACAAATGTTTATTCTGGTCAGATCGTTCCCCGTGAAGGATGTAACCGGTACGGGCAGCCGAGTACCGGATCTGGCGGTCCGGGGCAAAGGTGGCCACGGCGCCGCTGGAGGTGCTGTTCTGGGCCAGGCTGGTGGCGAGCTGGACCACACTGGCCGGGCCGGGCTGGGAGATCATCATGGTGTTGTAGAGGGAGGCCGACTGCTGGGCGTGACCGGATCGCTGGGCCTGGAGGCAGCAGGGGCGTCAGTATGACATATACATGCTGCCAGAGCGTGTGCATCTTTACAGAAGCTTCTAGACCAGTGTTTCTCAACCCAGTCCTCAGCGAACCCCAGCCAGTCCACGTTTTTGCTCCCTCCCAGCTCCCAGCCAATCAGGAACACCGAATAGCTGGTACAGGTGCGCTGGGAGCTGAGAGGAAGCAAAAACGTGGACTGGCTGGGGTTCGCTGAGGACTGGGTTGAGAAACACTGTTCTAGACAGAAGCCTATGTGGAGAATGTTTTATTTGTAAAGTAATTCGATGATGTACTTTGTGCTTTTTTCATCATTATAAGTGCCTTTATCTTTCAGTGGAACTGAATATATTAGGAATATTCACATTCTCTTTGCCTTCATTGCATTGCATGGTTTTGTATTTTATTAAATTGAGAATGTTTTTATCTTTCGATGTGCCCTTAACAGAGAACCCAGGGACTACAGATGAAAACTAGCCTTTTGGCTAAATCTAGCATACTTACAGTATGCATTGTTCCTGTCAAACCAACAAACAGATTACAACACTATTTCAGACACCGCTGTTTGCCCGAGAGGCTGCCCCCTCCCTGCAGATCCAGGATCACACCTTCCTGCTGTGCCTCCTGGGTCACAGTCAGCTGGGGGTGTAGGCTGTGTGATATCATCACACTGAGGTAAACAAATGACCCCCTGGGTCTAAACTGGACTGTTTCTCTAAAGTCGACGTCTCTGTCTTGGGTCATCCACACCAGAGACGACGACGACGACGACGACCAGAGGCGATAAGCCGAAAGCTCAGGCACAACACCAGCTTGTCTGGGCTCATGCGGGGTAAGTGTAGCCTGCAGTTAGCTAAGCTCATTATCAAAATATAACTCAGACTTCCTGCTACTGGGCCTTGTGCACTCAAAGCTCTACGACCTGAACTGCCGGTGCCTTTAAAACATCTTACAGCTTAGGGCTGTGGAAACAGACTAGAAGGCATCTAAAGAAACCTCATCTTGAAAACCAAGCTCTTAACGACTCTCCAGCCTTTGAGGCACTAATTAAGTGTAATATTTGAATGGTGATCCTCTACAGATCACCGCTGAGGTCACAGTCATCACTGGCACCTGCAATGTCTGACCTGCTTTCCAAGTTCAGTTTAGAAAAACACAGTGACACTAGATAACCAGGTATGGGGGGTCGAAACCCAGGTTCAAGTGGAGGTGAAGGAACAACCATCTTGAGTAGAACATCACGGCAAAAAGCTGCCCTTCATATGATCGTCATACAATTTGCAAAACTGCAGTACAACCGCAAAACAGCTTAATTACACAATTACACAAAAAATGCAGCAGGAACAATTTTCAAAATACGTTCCAATGAAGATAAATAGGGTCGAGCACTGTGTTCAGGCTTTGCAAATTTACAATTCCTACATAAAGAGCTTCACAAAAACTCTGAAATGTCTCTCAATACACAAAATCGATATCCCATCTCTTACTATACTACTAGTGGGGTGCTTGGGGTGTGTACAAGAGAGGGAGAAGCCTACTTGTGAAAGGGAGGGGCCTACCTGTGAGAGGGAGGGGCCCTGCTGTGGTAGGGCCTGCTGAGTGGGTGGGGCTTGCTGGGGTGTGGTCTGAGTGGCCGGGGCCTGAGTGGGTGTGGCTTGCTGCTGGTGCATGAGCCGCTGCCCGACACACTGCAGTGGGCTGGCCGGGAGGACTTGGCCCTGCATGGTGAGAGCCCCGCCCTGGGCCATTGTGCCTGACCCAGGAGTGCCTGGGGCTAGCTGCACGGAACCGAAGCTCAGGCTGCCCGTGGGCTGCTGGAGGAACATCTGCAGACAGGAAAAGTGGAGAAAGGGTCCATCTCCATGGTAACAGGCGCTCCATGTGACGCCATTGCGGAGGCTGACTCACCTGCAGGCCCTGGCCCTGCACCATGTGCAGTTGCTCCTGGATCTTGCGAAGCTCCTCCTGCTGCCTCTGGATGTTGGCCTCGATCATGCGTGTCCTCTGCTCCAGCTGGTCCTTCAGGTGCTGCATGGCGCCCAGCTGAGCGGAGAACTGCAGTGCGGGCTGATTGGAGGGGCGGCCATTGTTAGAAAGCACAAGCGTCATTATAGCTAAAGGATACTGAAGTCAAAGCTATAAGAAAACATTTTCGTAAACTGAAACAAGTTACGAGAATAAACTACAACTAGATAAAAACTAAAGGAAAACTACAAATACTGCTTTTTAATTAAACAGAAATAAAAGCAAATGTCTTTCCATTACGGTTTTAAAATACTATTTAGCTAAATTAATGACTTTTAATGATCTTTAATAAACATTAATAGTAGGAACATGTTTTGCCCATTTCGAGAACATTACTGCATAATGTGCACTGTGTAGGATTCCCTAATATATATATTATAAAGATGAGACACAAAACAGCTGTACAACTTTCCTAGAAATAAAATTACTAAAACTGAGACATAAAAACTACATAGAAATACATCTTTGAAATAAAAACTAATAAAAAAATTCAAACGACACTGAAGACTAAATAAAACCGAACATTTTCAAATGAAAACTGAAAATATAAAAACAAAAGCTAAAAAAAAATATATAATAATAATAATAATAATAATAAAATTCAAAACGATAACACTAGAGAGCACACAAACAAGTCAGATATATAAAGCCCCGCCAGTATTATCTTGGCTCAGTGGTAAGTAACCCTCACCTCAGACTGACTGACACCCCAGTAAAAAACAAGAGTGGAATGAGAGTCTGGGTCATTCTAACAAAGGAAAATAAAAAATGATGCAATGAAATAAATTGCTTTTGTGTAGAGCAACTGCGATCACTAACTTTTTTAGGTATATTAAAATGTCATGTGTTGCTCAGATTTAAAGGATTTAATGATTCTTAAACATTTAACCCCTATTTCATTACCATAAGTTTTATGACCAAATAACACAAATCTCGATATTTTTAATGTCTAAATGTTTTTAAATCATTCAAATTTATTGCATGTAACCCACAATAAGCAATAAACTTATGACAAGAAGCATTTTTTGTTGCTCAAATTTTGCATTAGTTTTTGCCAAGGATTTGATGAAATAGTTTTATTACAGAAATAAATGGTAATTAATAAAACTACCCTGAAAGCAGGAACAAGTTTAGTCAATGAGATTGCATGATTTGAGTGTGTCTTCAAACTAATTTGGAAAATAGGAGGAGTTTGTGAGAATGGCCCATGTATACCACAAAAATACCACTTTGAAAGGTCTCTAAAAAAATAGATTACAGTGACGGACCACCTAAGTACAGAGCAAACAGTTAATGTGGGGAAGTAGCATATCACGGTCCGCAGAGTGACCCCGACCGTGACCATGAAGTGTCACAGTGTGGCCCGTGTCACCCACCTGCACTCCAGGCTGGATCGGGGACTGCTGTGGGGGTGTAACCATTGCTGACGGCAGGTTCTGCCCTGTGTTCTGGGAGCTCATTGATTGAGCGATGCCTTAATGGTACATATATCATCCTTCACTGCTCTGGTAACTAGTCAAATTGCTAAACAGCCTGAACCCACAAATGGGTGAACATTAACCAGCTGCGGCTGACCTGGCTGCTAACAGATGACCTTCGCTGTGAGGTGATCTCCATGGCGACAGATTGCCTGGGTGGTGTGCTCCTGTCCGTCTGCAGTTTGGTTTGGGTTGCTGTGGGGGGCAACAACAAACAGGAAGTCAGAGGCAGGGCTGTCCGTAAACGTCACACAGACTTGTGTATACATGTGGTTTTACTCTAACTTCCTCTCTCAACTGATAGTTCAGCCACTTGCCAATAAGGCACCAAAATACGGGACTGATATCTTGATCACCCGATACAATTTAATAAATGTTTAGGTCTCTCAGTTGCGAGGACAGGTACGCACAGGCGGGGTCCGACACGGCAGTGTGGGAGGATGACTTGCGGGAGCTGCGCGAGGATGCTGAAGGTGTCCGGCTGTGGTCGAAGCGCTCCAGTGCCTCCTTCAGGCTGGAGGTGTTCAGCTGCGATTCAGAGCCCGAGTCCTGACTCTGCGACACAGATGGAGGGTGTCAGTTCATAAACAATAACTGCAAAAACGATCACCATGGAGTCTGATCCACCCCCCCACCAGCTTATCTGGGGCCATCTCAGGGGGCGACTCCTCGATGCCCAGCTCTCGCCGCTGCTCAGCCCTGACCTCTGCATAGCTACGGAGACACACAGAAAATTTGGTCACCACTTCCTGTTCCATAAGGCTCCAAATACGAGTCCAGTAATCAGGATATCTGAGAGTGCTCACCTGACCACGGTGTGGGTACAGACAATGAACTCCGGCCTGGAGTTCCACTGGTGGTAGGTGATGTAATAGTGCGTCTGCAGCCAGATCCACTGCTGGCCCTTGGTGAGAAACCTGTAGTAGCACGACTTCCCCTTCCCATACTGCATCACTGCACGTCACAGGCAGAGAGAGATGAATTATTGGGTTACAGCTGCAATTAATGCAAGCACCCTTTTCCAAAATGCACCACTGCACATCCTCAGGCAGTCACCCAGAGAGCATCCTCAGAGAAACACACACATATAGCTTGACCACTCACGGTGCTCGTGGCACTTGGCAAGCGTCTCCAGGTCATCCACGTGGTAGTAATCATAGCCAGAAGTGCCCAAAACCTCAAACGGCAAGTATCCAATAATGGGGGGAGCCCTGGAAGAAAAACAGCACCATGTCAAGCAGCTGGTCCCACTGCACTGTACATGCAATTTAGCAGACACTTTTGTCCAAAGCGATGCACAAGTGTGGCAAACAGCACATTACAAACATATGGCTGTGAAGGAATCGACTAGGCATAAGTGCAGCTAAGCTAAGCTAAGCTAGGCTTTCAATGAATACCCAGATGCTTATATCTCCCAACCCAATTTACACCCTGATCAAGCCAGATCAAGACAGTTGTAGGTCTCAGTGGACAGGTGCTCTTTGATTAGTTCTCATCTATTAGACTTTGAAGCATGAATGATAAGCTGCCAGTAACAGTGTTCATCAGGGCTTTGTTTTGCGCCCATTACTTTTCTCCTTATTAGCTGCTCTTCAAGGATATTATTCATACAAGGGGTTATAATTAAAACAAGTATGACGAAGGGCTATCTCACAAACAGCATTAAAAATTCATTTTAAGCTCAGAGAAAAGTCATCAGGGACCTATATAGTCAAAACTTCACTGTAAATGTAGGTGGCTTCTGTGGATATGAGGAATCCTCAATAGAAGACCTTGGCGTTACAGTGAAAAGGCTTCAACAGCCAGCTCTTACACTGCATATGCACTTTTTCTTTCACCAATAAGACAGCCAAGGCTAGAAAATCAAAGTCGACAAAGGATCAAGCTTCACAAATGGTCTCCAAAACTGTCTACAACAGGCACACAGTGTAGATTCAAGATTTCCTGCAAGAACTAAATTGCGTGTACGTTAGTCCTGTTTAGCAAAGAACACAATAATATTCTTCAACCTTAAAGATTTCAGACATACTAAAAGCTAGGTGAAGTGATTCCCCCAGATATTACATTTATTTAAGTCCTCTAGCGTCCACATGGGCCAGTGAACCAACAGTTACTTGCAGTGGTGGGCAGGGTTCTGCCAAGCCGCAAATGTTTTCGTTAGAGGACTAACATTTCTGCTAACTTTGAAAACCTTTAGTGGGCCAATTAACTTCTGCTAAATTTAGTTCTGCTAACTGTAAACCTGCTAAAAAAATTGCAGGTAAAGTGAACAAAAATTGACTGTCAAAAACGTTTTCAACCCATAAAGTCATATATATTTTTTCCTGTCTGTTGTGAGCATGTCTGCAACAGTCTATCCAGCACACTGCTGGCTAACTGTGTCAACACAAGACGAGACTGGTCGATGCAGCAGCAGCTGAGCAGCATAGAGTACGTCTGCACTTTAGTTGACTAATAATGTTAGTCTTAAAATCTGATTTATACCTCTGCATTGAATTGATGCCACGTACCCTACTCCAGAGCCTACACTGTAGCGTGATGCACACTTCTCCAGAAATGTTACTACACAACATGGCAACAAAGACCACAAAAATGGTGATTGGTCTGATTGGATATGCACTGGTGCAACGGCATAAAAATTTAATGAAATTACTCTGATTTATAAAGTGTGCACCAGATATAATTTAGGATGAACTCGGGATTAGGGCTGGATACCACTGCTGATTTCCCAAATCGATTCAGTTTCCAATTCCATTTTGTTTGATCCAATATCGATTTGAGACACCAAGGGGTTAGTAATATCATAACTTATTTCTAAACATCAATTTAAAACATGGGTTACTTAAAATATTGTCCACGTAATATACATGTAAATAGTTCAATTTGTTTGGAAACTCTTCTTAGTGTTCAGGGAAAAGGTACAGAGATATTCAGTAAAAATTTACTTTTCACACACTAGCAGGTAGTTGTGCCTTTAAATTGAGATGGTGCAGGAAAAGTCTCTGCACAGACATACTCATTCATGATAGCACCAGGCCAGACTGGCACATATCAGACCCGTAACAAAATCAGGCTGTGTGCAACTGGGTATTTATATTAACAGTGCCAAAATGAGAACAACAATTTCGGTAACCCATATTTAAACTGATGTTTAGAAATTGATAATCTTATATTTCAGGCCAGCACAGTAATATGATATCATAAGATATGATATATGATATGATATATGATATATATGCTATCACGCGGAAATGATTACTTAGATTCATCAGATTAAATGGCAGATTACACAGTTATTGATGTAACTGATAATGGCAGCCCTATAATCAAATAAAATAACAGATTTATTGATCGATGATGGAGGCTATACCCTGTGGCGTGTGAAGCCCTCTGATCGAGGCTACGCCAGACACAGCCGCACATGGGGCCTCCTGATCGAGGCTATACGTGAGCCAGGCGTATGAAGGGTCCTCTGACCTACACTGACACAGCTATGCTCCACCCTCCTGATCCAGTCGCACTTCTGCTCCTACATAAGCGAGCACATTCCAGGTAACCCGAGAAAGGGACGGCTTCTAAAATAACCTCCTCGCCTCAAAGTTTCATGGCCAGGCACAACTAAAGACCTTTTTAATGTGCCTCCTCCCCCAGCACAACAAACGGGAAAGGAAAATAGAATAAAATGGAACCATAGAGCAAGATAAACAGCATGAGGCTACATGCCAGGCCAGAATTCATACCTGTGGTCCAGGAAGAGGAACTTCCACTCCAAACTGTGCCGGGAGGTGAACTCCTCATTGGGCTCCTCTACGGTGCACATCTCCTGTTGGACCAGAGGGGGAATCACATTCCCTCTGCTGAATCTTGTCCCAGCTGATACGCATATGTATACACACGCGCCTACCTTGATGAACTGTGGCTTGGCTAGCCTTACGGTGGCGATGAAGCACACCCTGTCGTCAAAGGCTGGCCGGAGAGATCGCTGGATCACTCCCTCTAATCCATTTCGGGTAGAATTAGGCACTGGGGAAGAGACAGTAGATAAAGATAGCCAGTCTATCTCACAGTTCCCTGTGCAGCTCATATGTAAACAACATAGCCCTAAAGCTAATCATTTGTTGTCAGTTACATCAGAAACAGAGGGTGTCGCATAAATCTGAGTGATAGGAGGCAGCTTTATCAAACCAACTAGCTATGCACCGTCATCCACCCTGACTTTGAAATCGCAAGAGAATTTCTCACCGTTATTCAGGGATTTGAAGTTTCCTATGAACTTGACATACTCGTACACGGGCGGCTCCTTGGGGTCCATGGCCCCGCGGAGCATGTGACAGCAGAACTCCAACTGGTTTTTCGCTGGGGGAAACAGACATGAGCAGAGAGCGACTGAGCGCAGAACATCACCCTCAGCGCCGCCACCAGCCACGAGTGCCGGCGACAGGCTGAAGCCCCTTCGATGCATGGTGCAGGTTTGTGAAACAAATAGAAGCGGCAATAGGGAACAGATACCCTCCACATCTCCAAAACAGTGAGGGGCCAGAAGACGAGTCACACGCACAGGCCTTCTGACAGGAAGCATAAGCAAAGCAAGACTCACTTTTCAGATACTCTGGGGTGAGACTCTCACCCTCCAGAGTCTGTGTGGACAGGACTTTGTACACCTCCGAGTGCTCGCCCAGGGGCAGGAAGTTCAACAGGTTCTGATCCACAAGGTCACACTGCAAGGAAAAGGCTTGGAGGTCAGGTGACCTGCACCCACAGAGTCATGTTTTTGTCCTTTTAGAAGGTGACAGGATAATGTGAGGCACCACACTGCCACTATCACCCACACCTAGCAGATTGCAGGCAAGCAAAACCTGCTGGGCTCGTCCACTACGGGGCAGTGTGAGTTGTAAAGGAGAAGCGGCAGTCTACGGGAAATATCATTCTTTATCAAAATAGATTTCGTAAACAATATTTTACACTTGATAATAAAGTGAGGCTACGTACAACCACTCCTTGCTTAGCGTTCATTTGGGAAATACGAATACATTTTCTGACCAATTCACACGATCAAAACCAAATTTAATTTGAATTAGAATGTTCAGAACGTTGTTAAAAATGACCACTTCATGAAGGATAAAAGAAATTGAGCACGGAAGGCAGAAGTAAAGTCATAGGCACAGTTGCGGTCACACCTAGGCTGCCATCAATTTCACTTAGAGAACATTCTGATTAACAAGCGGGTTGTTGGAATGGAACTCTGTCACTTGGTTGGAACTTGGTTGCATTTAGCAAGAATTTTTGCAGTAGGGCTGGTGTTCGTTTAAGTACGGCACCATCTTACCCAAGCGAGCTCGATGGGCCGAAAGGCCTCCTCTCGTTTGTATAGTTCTTATGTTCTTAGTGTGGGTTCAATAGCTGCTCAAGGGGATTCAGAAAATTTCCCACACATTTTCCATACAATTTTTAAAGGTCAACTTTAAAATGTTCAAATAGCTGCTAAAAATGGGCACAAAGGCCCACATTTCCACTCTCTGCAAGGAGGATGAGTAATTCAGTGATTAAGAGGGAACACCCACTGACGGACAAGCAAACTCACAGGTAAATGTTCAAGTAAAGAGGTAACGCTCTCGGATACGTAGATAATATTCCCATCTGTCATTATTGCCAAGAAGAAGCCATCAAGGGCCTGAAAAATAAACAGAGCAGGTGAACAAGTATTAAACGTGCTTTTTTATGTAATCACACACAGGAACTTTAAGAAATGAAACGATATTCTAGAGCCCAGGACCCAACCCTTCTGTTACATTTCATACGGTGCAGTGTTTTAAAAGTGCTGTGAAACTGGGTCATTATCATAATGCTCATTTTCGTAACCTGAAATAAAATAAGGTGCCAAAATAAAATAAATACAACGAAAACTATATTACAGAGAAAACTAACAAAATTTAAAAAAAATGTCAAATACTTTGTTGCTGTTGTATAATGCTAGTTAGGTAAAGTAATGACTTGTTTATCTTTAATGACTCCCCCACCCCCTATTTTGAACATTCTTTGACCATTCTGAGGACATTAGGACATAATGTGTATTCATGTAAGATCACACAAATTACCTCTGTCCCTTAAATTACTAAAACTTAAACTGAAGCTAAAATATATAAAAACTAATTAGAAATATATCATTAAAATAAAAACCAATAAAGCCACACTGGCAACTACCTAAAACAATACTAGATTTCAACAGTAAATAATATAAAAACCACATTAAAATATCAAAACTACAACAAGACAGGCGTGACATAAAGCCCTCGAGCCCACCTCCAGCATGAGCTGCGTAAATTCCTCGTTGCTGAGAAATGGGGGCTTCCAGTCCTGCCGTATCTCACTGGACTCCGACTGGGCAGCAATTTCTGGGCGGGGCGAGAGAGACACACAAGGAAGTCAGTAAAAAGGACGGCTAGCCGAAACTGGCACCCTAGCGACAGGCACGCCGGGCGGATGGAGGGTCGTTACCTTTGTGCTTCCGCAGGAAGTCGATGCTCTTCTGCAGGATGGTGCTCTTGTCCATCTTGCGGGTGTTCCCTGGCAACATGGTGCCCAGCTCCTTGATGAGCACATTGAACTGATCTCGCCTCTTCTTCTCTGACTTGTTCCTGGACACACTGGGGCAGAATCATGCAGGGCAAGTTTGTGAGTTACAGCCTTCCCAAAAACAGTTACATTTCATTAATATTTAATGCAATTTTAGTAATAATATTGAAACAAAAAAAAAAATCACTAGCTTTCAGCAGGAAGTTCTGTGTTTTCCGATGTGTCCACTTCGACTATGATGGACAGCTTGGTCAGAGTGTGGGGAGTCCAGTTCAAAGCATCCAGACTGGCTGTTTCACTTGGACTTCACTTCCAGAGCCCACAGTCCATTGTGAATCCCGCACTCAACATCTCTTTCAACCTCCGACTTGACTATCTGAAATTCCAGCTGCTACGGCCTGACCTTCGCATACCGATGAACGTTAACTGGGATGTTACCAGCCCCTGCAGGGACTGCCACTGAGCTGCTGACACACCCGGGACTGGTAGACCCATTCTTTGTAGTCTTAACTTTGGGGTCTAACCATGTCAGGGACCACATATTTCAACACTTCATCTGGTCTCCTGCTGTCACCGACACTAATCCCTTCAATACACAAACTGTTGCCTCTCTGCCTGACCCCACCCCCCAGGTCAGAGGGTCAGCCTATCAGAATATGTTATGCTATGGGATTGGTTTGATATGTCCAGTGAGCCTGTAGAAGGCTGATATGCAGGTTCACATGCTAGTTCCTGCAGAATGGAACAGAGTTAATGCCGGCACTGCATCCAGAACTTTTTATAGACTAATAAAGCTACTTTTGGCACAAAAGAAAAGCCTCTATAGGGAGATGTCAGACTCAGCTTAGACCCTCTCTGTGGTTGTATCATTAAATTGATGCTTACCTGACACATATCTACACAAAAAAATGGTGCTTCTGTCACAAGCAACCTTACAATAAAAATATGTTTTCACCCATTTATACAGCTGGTTATTTTGCTAGAGTTACCAAGGTTAGGAGCTTTGCTTGAGCTACTAAGTTGCCACCACTCTTGGGATTTGAACAGATATCTTCCTGGTTAAAAATCTGTGTCAAAACGCATGCTGCCTGCTGCTACTGGTGCATTTACAAAACCCGATATTGCACCAGAGGGATTTAGGTCAAGTGCTCTGATCAAAGGTCTAACAGCATGAGTGTTTCTGACATGCGAGCAGTAGGGAAAATATGGAGAGCAAGCACATCTATTAGATAAGACATTAACGGCTGAGGTTGCCAATGGCAACCGGCACGATCACCTGCTGACTCCAGGCCAGCAGGGGGAGACTTGTCAGACTGCGGAGAACCTCACCGTTTTGCTTTGTCCTTCTCATCTTCTTCCATCAGACCATCAAAAATGCTACAGTCATCCCTGCAAAGCAGAAGTACCCAAATCAGGACAGAGGGGGCGCCAGAGTAAAGTTATGCACACACCCACAGGCACCACCACCGTGATTAACACTGAATGTCAGGCTACACCAAGTTGGTTGCGCACGACAATAGCCAGTAGTATTTCAGCACCGACAAAATGGGGAAGAAAGCCCTTTAGTCCATGCTGAAAACATGGGGGAGGGCAGGAAAACACCAAGCGGGTCAAACACGAGAGGCGGCCATAGAGGAAGCTGTGCCGTTACAGCCAGAAGGGCACCGTTTTAGCGCTATCTATATTTAGCTTGCTCCATGACTCAGCAAGCTAATGAAACACAGGCTTGGGTGTGGACGCTTTCGGCCCACTGCAACTGGTCCCAGATCGGCGTCCCCATTTAAGTGTAACCTGTTGTTTAACGCAAAGGAGGGGAAGGAGAACTGATACAGAATCAGTGGAGGCATGGGGGCGAGGATGACCTTCAACTTTTCGACCTTCTCGGATTTAAGAATCTTTAGCCGTTGGACTGAAGGACATTGGCAGAGCCCAAACCTCATGGGTCTGAGTCGATGTGTAAAATTGTAGCATGCTTTAGAATTATTAATAGAATTTTTGAAGATATATCAAGCTGATTCTTTTCCTCCCTCTCGCATATGTCATGTGGTTTTATCAAAACAAAAAACAAACATGGATCATCCATCCATCCATCCATCGATGTTATCCTATTAGTGAGCCATTACATCAAGGATAATATCATCTGGTTAGCACCTGCAGCAAATGCCCAGATCATGGAAAGGTTTGTTTTTCTGTTTCCATCCTGCTGGCTCATCCAGTCGTAAAATTAACAGGAAAATAAGAGGGGAAGTCAAAGCAGCGTAGCTACTCCACACTCGAGTGTTTTTAAAACATTGATAGTTCTACTTTACTGTGCCAATGGAGTCCAGATGCATGCAAGGCAAACATCAGCCAGTGGGCACGTGGAAGACGGCTAACAAACAGCACAGCTCTGAGCAGGAGACCCAAGCCCTGATAACAGTGGTGATACCCTTGAGGAAAAACAGCCTCTTAAAGGTGTCTGTATGCTTCAAACGGACCCAACATTGTTTTAGCAATACGATTCCGTTTTGTTGCACCACATATATAGAGTCTCAAAGGTTGTCCATGACTGGCTGACAATTTAATGCCACGGGATTGGTCAGCAGGACGAATTATGTAATTATAGTTATGCTTTGCACAGTGCCCATCTATCATTAAATGGTGTATTTTTTAAATTTACGCTAATAGTAAATGTCATAACTGTAATGTTTGCGGTGGAATGCGTGTGCTTCATTAGCATGTAACCGTGAGTGTCATGTAAATTGTTGGCTTCCCCATCTGTGCCGCTGCTAGTATTAAACCAAGAGTGGCTATTAATAAAGTGACTTTAAAGCTCTATCATCTGCATTAAAATGACTATGACAATATGTTTATTTGTTACTGTATGCGGCTCTGCTGCATTGGAAACATTCTGCACCATCTAGGGTTGTAGTGTGACATACAACGAACGGCTTTTGGTTGGTATGCGACAGATTGTTCTTGCAGACAAGTTCGATTTAGTTTTGTCTGGACACCATTGGAAGTTTACGGCCACCTTTAGGTGAGACGGAGGTAGCCTGACAGTAGCTACAGGGATTTCCAAATTGGCTGTTATCGTAGAACAGGTGCTAACACACAACATGGCTCAGACCGTGTGTACAGTATACTGCCCCACAAAGGCAAAACACAGTAACTATGCTGACACTGAAACCAATAAAGAGGGCTTTAAAGATTTTGACTGTCCATCTGTATGTGTAGTAGGTAGGTAGGCAAATGATGGTGTTTTCTTCAAAATAGAACATAGCTGAACCAAGATATTTTGTCATGAGGTAAAACAGAGCCTAAGACACCCAATTTTGGTCATAACTCAGATTTAAGACAACATGCGGTTATGGTGTTTCGTCTTTGTAGGGGAGTTACCAGGCTGCTCTATACAACTATACCGCTGCTTTTCTTTTATTACTTACTTTCTTGCTAAAGGCCAGCCTTTTCCTAAGTTCTGGGGTCTTTTCCCAGATACCACCAAGTAACAATCATTATGATTAACTCATGCAGCACAGGCCAAGAGGTAAATGAAACCAAACGAAACAAGCATTATCCCTCATACAGACCAAATAACAGAAAGCAACACAGATCAACAATTTCCTCAGAATAACCTCAATGTCACACTGTACCACGGGAGAGCGATTTTTTTGAGCAAACAGGGCATGATGGAAAACCACACTTACCGGTCAATGCTGGAGGTCATTTTTTTTTGTAACTTGTTCAGGGTTGCAGTGGAACTAGAGGGCCCTTTAATCGTGAGGTAGACATTTGTAGATGTACCTAACATGGGGAAAAAAGCAGAGGTAAAGTTAGCCTAAACCACATTCAGTGCAGCACACCATGTTTAATCTGACCCTGCTTGTGACACACTGGGTCCTAAAGCCCTCGGCTACACTGGTACATTTTGTTGGTCCAGACCGGTCCGTACCTCCGATAAAGCCAGTCCGGTTTGTACTATGTGCCTGACCGGTTTGTTGACGTGGCAAAGGCTGAAGTGCTCGGCGTCAGTCGCGTGCCAGAGAGAGCGGAGTGGTGCTTTAGCAAGCCCCGACAGCAGCCGACCAGAGGCTCCGACGGTGTGGGGGGGAGCGGGGTTACCGGGGACCGTCCAGATGCTGTGATCTCCGACGGATCCTGGTGTTCAGGTTCCACATCGCAGCCAAGTAGCACACCTGTGGGTGGGGGGGTTCGTGAATGCGAGCAGGCTGCAGGGGTGAATCTCAGTACCAAGAACACAAAGACCATACTTGTGGTCTTGGCAAGACCGGTCTTGCTAACTTGCCTTCCAAGAACGAACCAGGGGCACAATCAATCAGGACATTGGTCTCCTTTGGCAAGGCTGCAACCGATGTATCCTTGATATTTGAGGCGGAGCAAGACTAGCATCCAGGGATTTTTATCATCCTCTGTACTTGGTTTCTTAGTATCAGAACTGGTCTTGGTCTTGATGATGTAAAACGGGTAGGTGAGAACACAAGTATGGTCTAGTACACAAATTGAGATTCACCCCAGGCAAGTGGAAACAAGACATAACAAACTGAGCAGTGATAACATATCCCATATGTTCCATGCTGACTGGAAAGGGAATTAATCAGCCACACAAGGCCACCAGCTCTGTTCTTCCATCATCCAACTTTGCCTAAATACACCCTAAACCAGAAGGTTTTATTCATTTTACATCACGATTATCATCCATCTTCCATTATAGCTTTTCCAGTGCAAGGTCATGGTGACCCTGAAGCCTTTCCCAGGAAGTACAGGGAAGAAGGCAGAGGACATCACAGAGGGCGTTTTTCCACCGCACCAGGTACTGTACTTTTGGTACTTTCGGTACTTCCATAAAGTACCAAAAGTATGGTACTTCTTTTGTGTCGGTTTTCCACTGGAGTAAAAACTGGTACCGGCGCCAAAAGACATCATCAGTGATCGCCCCTGACTGACATCACAAAGCGCGACGCGGTATTTCTTTTGCTGAATTCAAACATGTTATTATGATCCTTCACTTTCCTGTAGTCCTGCTTAAGTTTTTTTATTTTCAAGCGGCATTGTTCGGTGTTTCGCGTGTGCCCCATTTCTTCCAAGCGGCTTGCTATTACGGAAAATACTTTTTTATTCCATGTCGTGTCATCCAAATCCCACTGGATCTGTTCATCTGACCATATGGCGATTAAAGCCTGTGTTTCCTCGTTTGTCCATCCTTCCGTTTTACTTTTTTTATATTTTTGTTTCTACTGCTTTTTATTTTGTTTCTCGCTGTGTATTTCAAAAGATGGTGGTTGTATTTTGTGTTTCAGCGGCAGGCTATTTACATAACCAATCGACAGCAAATACGTTTGCAAGTCCCACCCCAAAGTACCGAAGTACCAAAGAAGTACCCCAACTGGTTTGGCACTTTCGGTACTCGAGATTTCGGTACTGGTACTCGACCGGAAGTCAATGGAAAAGCGAAAGTACTGAAAGTACCGTACCGGAAGTACCGTACTTTGTGCGATGGAAAAGCGCCCTAAGATAACCGACTGGGCACTTTAATTTCTTATTTTCATTCTTATGCACTTTATCTTAACGTTTTTGGTGTCCACTAGTTCAGTGAGTTAAAATGCAAAGACAATAAAGTTAAAATTCAATTGAGTTATGTTGTTTTGGCTGAATTATTAATGTAATGTGATTTATTAAGACCACCCAGATCATACACAGCAACTTGCATTTCAGCTCTATTATTACATTTTCAGTGAACTCTAGAATATCGCAATATATCGCAATATGTATAGCATCACGATATATCGCATTTTAATCGTATCGTGAGCCATGTATTGTGATACGTATCATATCGTGAGGTCCTTGCCAATACCCACCCCTACAGCAAATACGTTTGTAAGTCCCAACCCAAAGTACCAAAGAAGTACCCCAGCTGGTTTGGCACTTTCGGTACTGGAACTCAACCGGAAGTCAATGGAAAGTACCGAAAGTACTGTACCGAAAGTACCGTACTTTGTGCGGTATGAAAGCGCCCAGAGTGTACACACACTACAGGAACAAACCCACATGACCATGGATAGGACAAGCAAACTCCTCACACAGGGCCAGGGCAGGATGCAAACTCTCAATGCTGCCCACTTAGCAGTAGTACAAGTACTGCCTTGCATCTGGTCCAGGTCAGAATTGGACCAAACCCCAACCCCATAAAAGGAACATGGGATGGATCCTACTGTCAAACCCTCTGGACTCTGAGGATTTAAATAATAATTTAAAAAATGTTTAGCCATGTACTGAGGTTCATAGTTTATGACCACAGTGTGTTCAACAGTTTTAAGTTAAGGCAGACTATCCTAATTTTTCAAATTTACTGCTAGCAAGAGCAACATGTGAATATCAGCAGTATGAAGAAACCTTCTGGTGCCTCACTTTCCTGTTTCCACCTCCTCTCCCTCTGACATGCTGCTAAATCAGTCGTCCGAAATTATGATCAGAGCCCTTAACGCGCGGAGCCTTACATTCACAATAAAGCGTTCAGACACAAAGGAGGTTAGTCATTAATGGATAAAGATAAAAAAAACTGAAAAGCACGTAGCTTCTTGGCACAAAACCTTTTTAAGGACTAAGACTGTGACTGTTGACAATCAGCTAGTCGAATGGAAACGCCGTGATGCGGGATGATTGTAATTACTCCAGAGAGAATTCCCCGGCGTGGATAAAAGCAGTCACAAAGAGCGCGCGCACACACACGCACACACGCACACACACACACACACAGCAATGCAGCCCAAGGCCACTGCACTTCAGTGTTTTCCTCCTCTGGGCTGGACGCCATCAAACAGCACCTACCGACACG